TATTACTCTTGTATATTGGTTCCTTTCGTCTATAATTTTCTGTAATACAACCAGTTTAGCATCTAATTCTTCACCTGTTATTCCATTATCTCTAAAAAATTTCCCAACCCGCCTTTTCTCTCTTTGTAAAAAGTTTACATGTTTTTCTAAAAATTTAATAAGGTCTTCTTTAGGGTCTTTATTATTTGATCTAGTATGTTTGGATGGCCTATAACGCGCCATTTTTTTTTTAAAGAATTCAACAAAATTTTCAAATTCGACATTATAAATAAAATCAATAAATCACATGCCCGCGAGATAATCGATAAAAAAAAATATACTGTATACGGCTTAAATCGTACTGTATACAGTTTATCAAAATTATCTAGTACATATAAAAATATGTATTGTGTTATATAACATATGCTGTCATCTATATAAAAAAAGCGAAGCGTGCTTTATAAAACTAACCGATAATATATTTCAAATCATGCATCGTGGGTACATTCATATCATGAAATATTCGGCATAATTATTTTACTCTGGATGGAGTCCTAAACTGACAAAGTCACCAATGATCAATTGATGATCAATTTTGGGTAAAAAGAGTTTTTTTGCTGAAGGCGACGTGCTCAAACATCAATGAAAACTGTCCAGTCACATTTTTCTCATTCTAAAATCAAGATAAATTTGCAATTTTCTTTATTAATTAAAGTAATAAATATTTAAAATAAAATTTCTTATAATTACAGGAAATGACGCCTACTTTGTAAAGTGACACTTGATTAAAGAAATAACGGATAAGAAAAAAGAATAATTTGATATTTTATTTTATCCATAAAAAAACTGTTTAACACTATCGGATGGGTTTGTAAATGTTAATGTCCGTTTAAAATAGTTAATTGCTTTTGTTATATGACATGTATTATCAATGCAATAGGATCCCAGTCATGAACAAAAGGTGCCTGGTTACGTGACTCAGAAATTTCTACCAAAAAATTAATCGAAAATATTAAAGTAATAACATATCGTCTGGATTAGTATATTAAATCGTATTAGAGCATAGTTTATGCTAAAATTTTTGCGAAAATTTTTAATTTGTTAGTACTTAAAAAGAAATTTCATACAATAAGGAAGTTGTTGAGTAATTGGCTTGAAAAAAATTTGCTTTTTTTTCATAATTCTATAATATAATATAATTTTATTGTAGACTTTAGGTTAGAGCATCGGAAATCACGTAATCCACGCCTCGTTTTTGTCACGGTCAGGATACTTTCAAAGCAACTAATTTTTCAACATGATAATTTTATAATTCAGGGATTTAGTAATAAAATTAACTTTTACGTCTCAAGGTGAATTAGCAATGGGCGTATGATCAAGTTTCTCGATTCAAAGAGTGACCTGACATTAAGCGTACTTCTAGGGCCATTATAATAAAATTATCTTTTGAATTCAATCGTCGAAGAAAAGAAGCAACTAAAATTATCGAGGATGTGTCCTCAAAATTAATATACGTAGAATGAAAGAGGAAGAAAAGGTAAACCACGTAACACAGATCTTTTAACGATGTTGATAAGAGTGGACGAAAGGAATTTCAAGTTATAAATCGAATTCACTAAATTTTGGATTTAATTTTTTGATTCGCTAAATTTGAATATTAGGACCATGACTTTTCTTGGAGCGGGAAATGAAACCACAAGCACAAGCAATGGCGTGGAATTTGTATTGTTTTTTTTTTTTTTTTTGCCCAAAGATCCCAAATCACAAGATATTTT